CCCCAAAACCCCAAAACCCCAAAACCCCAAAACCCCAAAACCCCGCAACATAAATTTTTCAATTAGTCATAATTTAAGAAATTAAAAATGGAAGAAGAAAAAGTTTCTACCGCTCCCACTGCCCGCGATGATGAAGAGAACGAAGAATTTATGAGAAAGCAGATCGATTTCCCACTAAATATGTGGGGTAGCCTCGAATCTATCAGAGAGAACACTAAATAAGGGTGCCAATATCTTGGAAGGGGTCATTAACTTTACCAAAACTTTTCATAAAGCCTATGATACCTACCAGTCTACTATAGAGAAAGCTCTGGAGATCTTTGAAAAAGAAATGCTCAAATTTAGCACACTAGACACTACAATGATATGTATGTCCTCCTTCTGTGCTGAGATGAAGAACATGCTTTCGGATATGAAGAATAAGTTGGATGAATTTGATGACCTTCTGTATCATCCATCTCAGCTCTTTGTAAAGCATTACCAAGGCCAGAGCAAGAAGTACTACGATATCTCTAAGAAGTACCTCCAGGAGGTCGAAGCAGCAAGACAGCAAGCTAATAAGGCCAAAGATAGATACTTCAAGCATTCTGATGCAAAGGTAGATAGCGAGCAAGAAATTGAAAAACGCCTCCAAGAACATGAAGATGGCATCATTACATTTGAACAAATGCAAGAGATCTCAAACAAAGCTTTGAATGTTAAGTATAAGACTGAGGTATCCTTCCAAGAATATAAGCAAGAGGTAGAGTATCTCAACAATCTACTACAAGATGCTGAGACTGAGTATAATCCTGCTTTAACTGCCTTACAAAAGCAAGAAGAAAGAAGAATAGATTTTGTGAAATACATGATGGAAAAATTCTTAAATTACTATTCTCAATGCGGCACAATGCTACTCACCAAGGAAGACAAGTTCAATGATTCTGTGAAGATGATCAATCATCACACAGATCTCCAGATATTTGTTGATGAAAACAGGACCAAAGAAAGTAGAGAAATCTTCTTTAGTAAAGTTGAGGTAAATATCTATGAACCGAAAAGAAACAGTAATATATCTAATGAAAATGGCGCCCAGTCCTCTACTGATGCAAGTAGTGCTGATAATGACCCATTTGGCGACCTCAATGTGCCGTCACAGCGAGAGATTGAGAAGAATGTCCTCTTTGTTAAAGATAAGATAAAGAACATGATCAGAAACCAAAGTGAACTTACTATGGAGGATAAAGCTGATATCCTCAATCTAATTCACTTAAAAGAAGTAAATTTTAAGATCTCTGAAGAACTCAAAACGATTTCTGACGTGAAGGAATATCATGTGCTGAAAGATCTGAGTGACATTGTAAACTACATGATCACAGAGTCTATTAATGACAAGCATAATGATTTCAAGATCATTAATAATATATTGATGTGTTCCTCCTCAATCTTCTGTAGGAGGCAGCCAGACGGAACTCCACAAGCTAAGAAGGCTTACCTCACAGATCTGATCAGACCTCATGCTATTTGGGGTGAAACCAACAGATGGAAAACTTGGATTTACTGCATCGTCGAAGAGAAGAAGAATGAAAATATCAACAAAAAGAAGAAACAAGTTTCTGAAAAGTATAAATAAGCTCATAAAGGAGTCTGAAGTTGATGACCCCAACGCAAGCATGATGTCCAAATGGCTTTCTAGAGTAACTAAGCCATTAAACTCATTAGAGCTTCATCATGAAAAGAGAAGAGAGATCGAGAAGCTAGAAGAGGATGGCTGTGACCACAGAACGTACTTAAATATCATATTCAATGTTTTATCAACCTATCTCAGACATCTATCTCAGTTCAACGTTCCTCTTGATGTTTCGAAGCAAATCATTTTATACTTCTGTGAAAGATATGATTTGGATAAGGACAGAACCCAGCTTATACTTTCCGAACTTGAATCTACATATTCCACAGAAGGCTTTACAGAAATCGAAATTGCTAAAATAAGACTCAGAAAAAGAGAGATTCTTATGGAGACCCTTGAGAATGACTCAGGGCTTGCTGTCCTTTACCATGTGAGCAATTACCTAGATTCTGACAAAGATTTACTACACATTTTAAGCTTGAACAAATCAACCAACCAGCTTCTGAAACCCATAATCTATAGAAGATGCCTACTGAACGTGAGGCATAATATTTCTCCTGCCAAAAGATCCTTCTTATGGAACTACTTCCTTAAGTTGAGTGAAATAAAATGAGAATATATCGCTTTGAGAGACAGAATTAATGAGAATCCAGAAATCATTGAGAAGGTTGAAGAAGTTATCACCTTAGATGTCCAGAGATCCTTCAATAACACAGAGATGATCAGTAGAGAGAACCTGTCAAATATCTTAAAGACTTATGCTTTCTATAACCCAGAGATCGAGTATTGTCAGGGTATGAACTTCCTTGCTGGATTCTTCTACTTCTACTACAAGGATGAAGAGAAGGCATTCAAGGCAATGCTAGGTTTGATCAACAAGTTCGACTTGACAGAGCTTTTTAATACAACTCTTCCCAGACTAAAGCTCTATTTCTATGTGCTTGATAGGCTAATCTCAATGTATTTACCAGAACTCCATGAGCATTTCAAGAATGAATACATAACTTCCTCTCTATTCTCTTCAGCATGGTTTATTACATGCTTCTGTAACACGATCAGCCATCAGAATACCTCAAATCTGAACAATAATATCTTATTCTTCTGGGATAACTTCGTGATAGACGGCTATGTAGTCATTTTCAAAGTTGCCATAGTCCTGCTTGGCCTTTTTGAAGATAAACTCCTTCCTCTTTCTTTCGAAGAGATCTTGAACTACATCATAGATATTCCTAAAATCCTTTTCTCCAAGAATGAAACAATCGAGGAAATGCTTGAGCCTGAAAATATCCAAGATGAAGAAGATAAAGATGATGAAGGAAGCATCTTTGAACAAAGCCCCCTCAAGAAGGGTCACATCAAGGGCATTTTGAAGGAAATAGACTTCGCTAGCTTACTCAAGGACTCACCAGTCAGCGAAGAACTGATCCAGAAGATAGAACTTGAGTACAAAGAGAATGAGAATAAAGGAAATTTCAACTAATCTCTCCTTTCTGGGGTTTTGGGGTTTTGGGGTTTTGGGGTTTTGGGGTTTTGGGG